TTTTCCTGCTTGTGCCTGAGGAGAGCATGGTGGCACACTGTGGCGAGGCCCTGGGTTCTGGGAAGAGGAGCAGTGGTGGCAGATCTGTGGGGACCCTGCCCTGTGTCTGAGTCGGTCCAGCCCCCACGGAGGCGGAGGACCCCCAAAAGGTGGTTGTGTGGCTACCTCTTAGGATTGGCCAAACCTGGACGCCCTGCCCTCTGCAGAGCCTTCTTCAAAAGGACCCCTGCACGCCAGGGGGGCCAGAACCGCAGCATGTGGACTAAGGAGCAGGCCTGCCCTGGACACGGTCGGGCGGTCTTGAGGAGAGGGTCTTTTTAGAATTTCGCAGGCCGTCTTCCGCTCCAAGAGGAGAATTAGGAACACAGTGGGGGCCAATCTCATTGACCTTGAATATCCCGCCAGCCTTGGCACGGGGGCTTGAGCTGGTCCGAACGGAATTTGGGAAGACAAAGAAAAACACAGGCATTCAGAGTGTTTGGGGTGTATAATCCATACCCATTGTCGTAATAGGTAACAGGCTCTTGATTTTGAGAGCACAGCAAAAACTACTCTCAATGGAAAAGCACTCATGATAAGAAACAAGCACAATTTGGCTCATAATCTTAACCTCACTTAAAAAAGTTCTAGAGAAACCAAACACATTTCACCCTGAAGGAAGAGGACCGCCCTGCGGACTTGCACACGTGCACCCCCAGCCCAGGTCCTAAAGGCTCAGGGACAGCAGGCCAGGAGCCCGCGGTTCAGTGGGACTGGTGCCCACAGGGCTTCCAACGACGCTGTTTGGTTCAATGCCCTTCCCTAACAACAGTGATTTAGGAAACGAGTTCCGGGCTGGGGCCGCCTTCTGGGTAGAGTTTGCCTGTTCTTCCCACGCCTGTGTGGGTGTTCTCTGGGTGCTCAGATTTACTTCCACGTGCCAGAGATGTACACAGGAGGTGAACTGGCGTGTCTAAGGTGTTCCAGTGTGAGCGAGTGAGTGTGCCTTGTGTGTCCCCACCACGGAAGGGCGTCCTGTCCTGGGTGGGTCCTGCCACACCCTCAGCTGCTGGGACAGGCTCCGGCCCCCTTGCGACCCTGAACTGAAATGAATAGGCTGGAAAATAATTCTCTTTCTTGTTTCTTATTATTGTTTCTTAAATGTATGTATAGCTCACATTTATTCTACTGTTCGATCTTAGAAGTGTTTTGGGTCTTTCTTTAGAAGTTTGGTGGTGCTTTTGTGACCAGAAATATGCCAGAGGAACGTAACTCTTGTTTGTATCAATTAGCTTGTGGTGAAAGTGGTTCCTCGATGTGTTGTTTCGCTTAAAGTCACAGTGGGCAGGAACCTACCCATGACATTAAGTGGGGACGCACGGTCCCAACTGGCACCCAGCCTCCTTCCTTGGGGTCCTTGAGCGAACAACGTGCAGGCCTGTGGATTTCAGTTCACATTTCCCAGAGCTGCCTGCCAGCAACCTCCCAAGTCAGTTTTTAGGGATCAACAAAATTTGGTTTTTGCCAACTAAAATTGGCCCACCGCTGGAGTTGCCAGGAATCCTGATTCAGGATTCCAGCTGTCCCTGCTCCCAGGCCACACCTCTCAGGGCCACGCCTCCAGGCTCCCAGGCCACACCTCTCATGGCCACGCCTCCAGGCTCCCAGGCCACACCTCTCAGGGCCACGCCTCCCGGCTGAGCCAGGAGCGTTGAGCGAATGAGAGTGCTTTCTGCTGTTTTCTGCTTTGGGGTCCCAGATGACCCGTCCATACCACCATTGCTAATGCAGATGGTAACAACCATCGCCCAAAAGAAAGATTTGCGTCTCACTGAGTGACCGACACGTGGTGTCACAGAGTCTTTCACCTTGAAAAGCAGGAGAGGGTAGCTAGGCTTGGAATCTTTGCTCTGCCTGAGAGGGCTGTGACCAAAACAGTTTGTTTCAGACATAAAATGCCATTTTCTCAGTAGGGTGTGGTGACGATTGTCGGAACTCACCTGCTGTGCACTTGTTACCTATACCTTTTATTGAAGGTAAATTCTACCTCAATTAAAAAAAAATCAAACTGGAAAAAAAAAACAGATATAGGAGGCCAGAGAAGGCTCTTGGGAGGGATGCATCTTTGTGGGTAAAGAGGTGAGAACAGGGCACAGGACGCGCCAAGAGCGCCTAAGGTCTGTGTGGTGAAAAGGAAACATCGAACAAACCCCAGTGAGGAAAGTTCTGTTTACCAAAGGGGGGCCGCACGCCCTTAAAAATGTCAGAGTCGTAACAGAAGGTAGGAAGAGAGGCTGTGGAAAGGCCCCAGACTGGAGGGGGCTGAAGAGAGAGGACAGGGAAATGCAGTACCGGCCCAGCCTGGACGTGGTCCGGGGAGGGGAGGGACGCCGTGAAGGTCATCATGAAACCGATGGACAGTGGAAGACTAGACAGCAGGTCAGAGGGCAGTGTGGTCGGAGGGCAGTCTTACCTGACTGTGGGGAGGCAGGTAAGACTGTTCTCAGTAAACAGGCACCCTCATGTAAAGGGCCATTGTGTATGTAACACCCCCGCCCCCCCCCCAGAAAAGGTTGTGAAAATAAAATCACACGTGTATTCGCATGCTAACGGATTTCCTCACTGTTAACCTTGGGGGAGGGGGGGAGAAGTACAAGGCAGGGTCCTGTTCCCAGGGCTGGTTCGAGGTCTGGCCTGTTTTCTCTGTGCAGCAGCGAGACCTCCACCGAGACAGGCCCGGCCCACACCACCCTGCACTCTAGAATTCCTGAAACGCACATTGCACCCTGGCTGACTTGTGCAAACCCAGACTCCAGGCCAGGTCACTGTCACCCGGAGAGGAAAAAACCAGAGCGGGGCGGGGCAGGGCGGGGAGCTAGGGAACGTTTCCTTATTGCTCACTGTGGAAAGAAAAGGAACCAAATTCAGGTTTTAGTTAACGGGGCCAGTTCGAGTTTGGGCAAGTGCTTTTTTCAACCTCTGTTCCTCCAGACAAGGAGAGTGTTACCAGAGACCCTCCTCCTGTCAGTAACTCCTGGAAACCACGTGGTTCCCATTGGCGGTTCACGAAATCTTTGACTCCTGGGTCAGATCACTGCACTTGGACGTGAGCTGGCCCAGGCAAAGTTTGTGTGTTGGGGCAACTACATCTATTTTGTCTAATGCCAGGATTCTCCAGGATGACCCCAGCAGTGTCGTGGTCGATTTGGGAGAGGAAGGGGTGCCCAGGGACGTCTCAGCAGGCTTTCAAAGACCACAGTGTCTGAGCTCGCCCTCAGCTCAGGGGGCCCTGTGTGCCCCACCCCAAACGTGGCTCACTTCCTGTCGGATCTGCTGTAGAAGTGAATGGGACCCAGGCTCCTGTCCACACAGCATGGCTGTGATTACTCTCCCCTTGCCGCCCACAGAGGGAAAATACAGGATTGCTTTGTTCAGTGACATTTCCTAGGAGAAGAGAAACCACCACCTTGACCCCACCTACTCTGGGACGCGTGAAAGGTTGCACCTCACTCCCAGATCTCCAGTGTGGGCTGTGGTGTCGAGAAGCTGAATATTTTGTCCTAACCTTCCCTCTGAAGGTAGAACAATTTGGGGGACTTGGAAGTTCAGCTCTGTAATCAAACTGATCTGGCTCTCTGCCAGCATGTATAAAACCAAACCGAGGTGGTGCATACCGGCAATTAAAGCCCGGTGGCAGAATGGGTGCATGGCCGCAGCCCAACTTCTTTCCTGTGAATGTCATACTAACTCTCCAAGGAGGGCAAACGTTCAGAATAGCAGTCTGCTGTGTCCCCACAGGGACGGGGCGGCCTCTCTGGCCGTGAGTCAGTGGAAGCTGTGCGACAGGGTCCACAGCAGGAGAGGGGAGCGTCTGTGATGCAGACGGCAGGGGAGCAGGTGGCAGGGTTGAATCCGGAGGGAGACAGAGTCACTGCTTGTTGGCTACATGCACCCCTAGAAGATGCAAGAGACAAAGCAACCTGTGATCTGCCAGCAGAGACCCAGCAGGTCAGACAAGGGGACAGCAGCTGTGTGCTCCTGGACATCAAGGGACCAATGGCACCAGGGCTGCAGTGAGTCAGGGAGCCCAAGTCCAGCCCTCCAGCCAGTGCATCCTGCATCCGATTCGTGCTGACCAACCTGGGACTCAGAAATAACCTCCGGGTAGTGCAGAGCACCCCTTCCTAGCTGAGCACGCTACAGGTGTTGCTTATTTATACACACAACAGACTGTTCTTTTATATTTTGAACACATACTTTTCCAGCCTTATTGACATATAATTGACATAGAACACTGTGTAAGTTTAAGGCGTTCAACGTGGTGATATATGTGTATATTGCAAAATGATTGCCAAGTTCGGCTTGGTTAACACATCTATCGCCGCACATGGGTACCATTTTATGGATGTGTATGTGGTGAGAACTTTTCACCTCTACTCCCTCAGCTTTCAGAACACAATGCAGTGTTGGCCTGTGCTCTTCACAAAAACAAGGAAACAGAGGCTGAAAGAGGTGGCCTGCCAAGGACAAAATGTTTGTAATTGGGGGACCAGGATTTGGAGCTGGGTCCCAATCTCATGCATTGTACTGTTTACACACACACACACACACACACACACACACACACACACACACACACACAGAGTATGTTGGATTTCCAGTCTCTTCGTCAAGAAGGAGCTTGGTGTGGCTTTTTGTGCTTGATCCCAGGAGTTCTGCAGCCACACCTGCGTAGGAAGACACGGTGGTGTTTGGCCGGGAACCCCTGGGCGTTCTCAGGCAGCTGGTGCTTTGCCATCTGGATGGGACTGTCTGCAGCCGGGCCGTACCTGTGGGCAGGGCCTCTCTGCTAGGACTCCGGAGCCCTGGTTGGAGCTGCCAAGGAGGTCATAAGGTTTGGTAAAAACCCATGGGCCATGTGAGCAGGAGCTGTCAATGGGCCGAGCTGGCTCCAGTGCCAGAGAATGGCCAGTCTCTTGTTCCCTGGGTCACTTGTCATCTTCTGCCCCCTGTCTTTGCAGCCAACCTCAGTTTGAAGCCCAGGGCTGTGGCTCTTGGGGACCGGCCAGTCTACCAGGGGCCTGTGCATTGCATCGCCACCATCGTGCGGACGGAGGGCCTGGCAGGGCTGTACCGGGGCGCCAGCGCCATGCTGCTGAGGGACATCCCAGGCTATTGCCTCTACTTTATCCCCTACGTGTTCATGAGTGACTGGATCACCCCTGAGGCCTGTTCGGACCCCAGCCCCTATACCGTGTGGCTGGCAGGTGGCACAGCAGGTAAGGCAGCAGCGTCCATCCCCATTTCTGCACTGGCCACCGCAGAGGGAGAGCTGGGGGGCCGACCATGCCTTGCTCAGCCATGGGGAAGGTCAGGATTCACCTGCCACTCACCCAGCAATTCATGTTAAGTACCTACCATGTGCCAGAGAAGGGGCTCGGAGTGGGGAACGGTCCTTCCTTTCTCCATCTCCGCTCCACTGGACCCATGGGGGTAACAAGGACCCCTGTCTGAGCTCATTCACCTTTTTCAATCAGAAGATCCATTTGGAGCACTTCCTCTGTGCCAAGTGTTTCTGAGCTTTGCAGAGGAACTCGGTCGCTGGGGCTCACCGTTCTGGAATATCGGCGCACTGTAAGCTTTTCTTATGTGAGCGTTTCATTACCTCTAGAAGGTAGGCATCGGGCTCCCCGTGTTTCAGATGAGGAACCTCAGGCTCAGAGAGATTAGGTGACCGACCCGAGGTCACATAGCCAGTGCAGACGGTATAGCAGGGACTCGGCATCACAAAGATCCACGTTCAAATTCACACTTACTCATTTGGTGACCCTGGACCCATTACATAACCTCCCTGCTCAGAGCTCGCACCGCATCCCCACGCCTTGTGGGGTCGGAGTCAGTGTCTCAGGCCCTCTGGGCCCAGCTGCCCGTTACCTGCCCTCACTCTGCTCCCGCGCCTGACAGCTGAGCTCCAGCTGCACCGCTCTCTCTGCGGCAGGCTGCCCACGCCCGGCTCTCTCCCCTCCACGGGCCCTCTGTGGTGGCTGGAGGTCATCACAGACTTTGACAAGACCCTCTTGGGTCGAGAGAAGGTGTGATGGCCTGCTTGGAGTGGGACTGAGAGAGAGTAGGGTGAGAGACATTGGAGAACCCAAGTCTCACGGCACCGCTGGGGCGCCGGCTGTGCCGTGTCGGGGCAGAGAAACGCAGCGGCGGTGGGAGCAGCACCGCATTCCAGAGACGATTGCTGTTTAAGACGGCTGATGCTGAGAGAAGACGACTGTCGTTCCTCCTCTTCCTCCTCATCATAATTAGCTATGCTTGGAACTCAGCCAACACAGCACACAGCCCACCCCTTAGCCACCAAACACCAGTGTTTTCTCTCCCCCGCACCGGCTGAGGCCTGGCCCTTCCCAGCTCCAAGTTTTGCTCAGTGAGCACTTGCTGGCTGACAGAACAACCCCCTGTGCTCATCTCTGGTGAGAGCAGGAGCGAGTGGTGTGGCGGGCCAACCTCCACTCAGTGTACCCCCACCACGGGCTGAGGGACAGGGGCATGTGCCTGTCATGCCACCAGGGGGCAGAGGGGGCAGAGGTCCGGAGGGGTCCCTGAGGGCCGAGGGCAGGGGGCCACAGGGGCTGGGCGCCAGGGTGGGCAGAGGGCTTGGGGCAGCAGTTACAAAACCTTGCAAACCAGCTGCCTTGAACTTTGGCATCCGTTTGTTTTTCTCTCCCCATCCGAGAGTGTGCCAGCCTTTGTATTTACACAATAACCCAGAATGGTTTTCCTAGAGCTTCTTAAAGTCACAAAAGTGCTCAAACCAGGGCACCTGGGCTTAGGCAACGAGGATGACCCAGGGGCACGTGGTCCTAAGGCTTCTGTTCCACTGTCTGGAAAAGACAAGAGGTTTTTGTTGTTGTTTTTAAGATTTTATTTATTTATCTCTAGAGAGGAAGGGAAGGAGAGAAGGAGCGAAACATCAATGTATGGTTGCCTCTTGTGAGTCCCCTGCTGGGAACTGGCCCACAACCCAGGCATGTGCCCTGACTGGGAATCGAACCGCGATCATGTGGTTTGCAGGCCCGTGCTCAACCCACTGAGCTACACCAGCCAGGGCAGACAAGAGGTTTTTAAAGACCTGCTCTTGCTCTTCTTTTCCATCCCCAGGCTGGCCCCTCCTTGCCCAGCAGCCTCTTTTCGGCAGGTGTTGGTTCAGGGTGAATCCTGCCTCTGGGATCTGCCAGCCTTCACCTCGGGCCTCAGCTGGGCCCTCCCCTGCCCCTGCAAAGGCGCTGCTGAGGACTGGCGGGGCCTCATCCTGTTTCTCCACAAAAGCTACCAATAAAGGCTCCCACCTGAAAAGCACCGGCTGTGGGCCAGGCACTGGGCTGAATGCTCCACGTGCATCCGTTTGTCCATCCTCACATCAACCCCATGAAGACAGGGGCTGCGGCCCCACTTCACAGATGGCAGACCCAAGGCCTACAAGGGTCCCACGGCCAGTGGCAAGGGAGGCTCAGGAAGGCCCTAACCCTGAGCGTCTTCACTTCCCTCAGCACCTTATGGAGCCTCTGAAGGGGGAAACCTGCAGGGTCCCCTCCAGGCCCCAACAGCCAGCCCCCGACACCTGTTTGTCTCTCTCTGTACAGGAGCAATTTCTTGGGGGACAGCGACTCCTATGGATGTTGTGAAAAGTCGACTCCAAGCTGACGGGGTTTATTTAAACAAATACAAAGGTGTCCTGGACTGTATCTCCCAGAGTTACCAGCAGGATGGTCTTAAAGTAAGCCCTACAGCAGCCGTGCGGGGTCCGTGTCAGTCCCTGGAATGTGGGTCCAGCATTTGGGGGGATGTGAGATCATAGAGAAGGGAAACTGAGGTGCCGGCGGTTACCGCTTGCCAAGCACTGGGAGAGCATGGTGTCTCATCTCGTCCCTGCCCCGGGCTGGTGAGGAAGCCCCCACCCTGACGGAGCTTCAGAGACTGGTACCCGCCTGAGGTCCAGCAGCTGCGGTGTGGCAGAGCCGGGACCTGGACCCACCTCTGTGTGTCACCAGTGCTTGCCCTGTCATCGAGACAGGCTGGGCGGTCCTTCCTCACTCCCTGCTGTGGCTCCCCTCCCCTCCCCAACGTGGGAAGGCCCAGAACCACTTCCGTCGTCACATCTCACAGGTCCCAGCTCCCCAGTCTGTCTCCTGCTCTCCCACCCACATGAGTCCGGAGCCTAACACCTCTGGTCTCCGCTGTTGAGGCAGCCTCCAACCAGGCCTCGTCTCCCTCCTCCACTTCTCTCCTCCGCTTCTCTCCTCCCTGCGCCCAAGGGTCCTGTCCTAAACCCAAGCTCCTTCTTGCCTCTACACTGTCCCAGAGTGAAGACCAGACTCCCATGCCCAGTTCCAAGGTTATAAATGAATCCATCCCTGTCTTTCTTGCCTCCCACGACACCCTGAGCACCCTCCAGAGAAACCCTTGTTTGTTTTTCCTTGAGGAGGCCCCCGATTTTCCCGATATGCCTCTCAGAGTTAGCAGGCCTGAGTTCAAGGCCAGGCCTGGCTACTTGTGAGCTGGAGGAATCCAGACAAGTTGCTTCACCTCTCTGGGGCTCGGTGTGCCAAGGATAACACCATGAACAGCAGGGATATTTGTGGGTTAAATTGAATTATGCATATAAAAAATACCTACCTTTAATGCATCCCACACAGAGAACATTTACGATGAGTTATCCATTTGTCATTGGTATTAGTATTCATTTTATCTGTTTTAACGTTGCTACTTATCTCTGGGCCCTCTCTCATTTGGCTGCCTTGTGCTAAGCTCTCCAATGTTTATTAACCGCCCACTCTGATGCATCCAAATTTGTCATTTTTTCTCCATGGGAGCGCTGGAACCTCTCCTCTGAGAACCCGGACTTGCACAGAGGCTCTCTCACCTGTGGGCGCCTGCCCAAGCCGGTGGTCTGCAGGGGCTTGTGGGCCACGGCCAAGAGGGGCTAGAGCGGTTCCCCTGCTGGTACTGAGGTCTGTCTGCGTGATGTACACATGGGAGACACTCCCTTGGGTCCCTCAGTGTGTGGTGCTGGGTCCCGCAGCTCCCAGAGAGGCCCTTTTGCTCAGGGAGGGATGCCACATTTTTGTTGTTGCGATGGGGACAAAACAAGGAATGTCTTGTGCTATGCGATGCCGACATCATTCTTTCTATGAATTTGCCTTTCCTGAGGTCTTCACTTCATCGTACAGCTTCCAGTCACTGTCCAGTGTCATTTCATGTCACCCTGAAGGACAGCCCTGAGCACTTCTCACAGAGTAGGTCTAGTGGTGGTGAACTTCCTCGGCCTGTGTTTATCTAGGAATGTTTCAATTTCTCCCTCACTCTTGAAGGACAGTTTTGCTGGATATAGGACTCCTAATTGACTATTTTTTTCTTTCAGCGCTTTGACTGGATCGTCCCATTGTCTTCTGGCCTCTAAAGGTCCTGAAGATCCTTTGTGCAATGAGTTGCTTCTCTTTCGATGCTTTCAAGATTATTTCTTTGTCTTCAGCTCTGAAAAGTTTATTGTGTGTCTTGGTGTGGGTTTCTCTGAGTTCATCATACTTTGAATTTGTTGAGCTCCTTTGAGACATATTCATGTCTTTCACCAAATTTGGGAAGTGTTCAGCTGTGTTACTTCACATATTCTCCCCCCCCCTTCTCTTTCCCTCTGGGGCTCCCACAGTGCGTATATTGGTCAGCTTGAGAGTTTCCCACAGGCCCCTCAGGCTCTTTTCTTCAGTCCTTTTTCTTCCAGTAACTTGTGGTCTGAATCATTTTCATCATCTCATCTTCAAGTTTGCTGATTCTTTCTCCTGCCTGTTGAAATATGCCTTCAAATCCTTTTAGAGAATTTTTCATTTCAGTTGTTATACTTTTCAGTTCCAGAATTTCTATTTGGTTTCTTCATGAGGTTTTCTGTCTTCACTGATATATTCGTGTTGTTCATATATCATTTTCCTGACTTTTTCCACATTTCCCTTTAGTTCTTCAAGCATCTATAAGACAGTTGTTTTAAGTCTTTGTCAAGTAGTTTTGCTATCAGGTCTTTTGGGGGGGCAGTTTCTGTTGATTTATTTATTTTTGAATGGACCATACTTTCCTGTTTCTTTGTATGCCTTATGATTCTGTTGTTGAAAACTAGACACTTGAATCTACTAGTGTGGTTACTTTGGAGATCAGATTATTTTCTTTTCCAAGGGTTTAGTGCTTCTGGTTATTGCTTTTGTTCCTTGTTTTGTTTTTCCAATTTTTGCAGACAGTCTCTGTGCCAAGGATCAGGTGTGAGCCGAAGGTTTTTTCAGGTCTTTTCTGAGACTTTACCTTTCCCTGGGCATGTTCAGTCACTTCCTAATTTCCCCCAAACATGCAATTGCTTTTAAATGTCCTGGTCTTAAATGCCTGGCTCTGGAAGGGGAAAAAGTGAAAAATGCAGGGAGAAGGGCATGAGCTCTTTAAGTCCCCTGGAAGTCACTGCAGCCCAGGGGGGAGGGGCCTGTATCCATGGGAGTGGGGTGTGTGGGAAAACAACAGCTGTCAGAAACAGGTCTTCAGCACTGGGAGGACGGTCCGTTGCCTATCCTGGCTCCCACGCGCTGTGCGCACACTCTGCTCCAGGAACAGGTATGCAGCTCGCTGCCCTGCCACTGAGCTAAGGACTGAAGTTCATCACAACTTACCATCCAACCCTTCCCCTGGAAGTTGCAAGCCCTCAATAAGCTCCAGAATTCCAAAATCAGATGGATTTTGCTCGTATAGTTGTTGTCTAGAGGGGAAGGCAGATTCCTGGTATTTCCTGCTCTGCCATCTTCCCAGAATTCTCAACTCAAGTGTATTTTTTTTTGGCAGAGGAAGTTTGTGATTGACCAATAAGCACAGAGGAGCACATGAGAGAAATCCAAATGGGATGCTCCATTTTTATTTGAGATATTTCTGTCTGTTATCTGTAATATTAATGCCATAATCTAAAAGTGTCTATAAAGGCAAAATATATTGCTGGTATATTTCCTCCAAAATTACGGCGCTCTGTAAAAAAAAGTCCTCGAGGGCAACAAGGCCAGATGAGAAATTTTTTAATCTCAACAGCATTTGGCCCACATTTTAAGCAGAGAGAGCAATATACAGCCTGATTAATCAGCTCATGGAGATTACTTTTTAATTTTTTTATTAGAAGGTTAAAGGTAGATTGTGTACAAACACAGGAAGCTTCAAAAGGTATAAGAGGAGATACTGTCCAAATGTCCCTCCTGCGGCTCCGCTCTCAGAAGCAGTTGCTATCATTTCTGTGATATATTCCAAAAATATTCCAGCCTGTGCAAGCTTATAAGTGAGTATGTATTTATGTACATTGTATGTGTGTTTGTATATAAATAACATATAGTAACAAAGAAACCCCCCACAGTGCTGGAAGCTGGGCTGTTTCACGGCTGAATTCTTAGTGGTGGGAGGGACGCCTTTTCCCAGGGCTGAGGGGCGGCTCCAGCCCCAGGCAGCTCGGCCACGGGCTTTGTGGGGTGCCCTTTCTGAAGCACTTCTACTGCCACTCACAGAGGCGGGGTGCTAAGCCGCAGGCTGTTCCCACCATGGAGGAAGAGCTCAGCGGTCAGAGAGAATCGGAAAGCAGGGAAGTGATGGCGATGGTGCCCGATTCCAGGAGCCCTTTTTGTAACTCACATAGTGAGCGCCAGTCAGGCAGCCTTCACGACAGGGATCAGACGTCCATGGACTTTCAGGGCATTCCCCAGCCAGGACAGAAGAAAGGCCTGAGTCTGTTCTCTGCCTGCTGGGAGGATCGTCGTGGGCTGCGTGGGCGTACCTGGAGATCGGCTCATACCTGGAGAGCTGTCTCCGGAATAAGGATGCCAAGGGAGTGACAAGGTGTCCTTCAGCCCCACAGAGGTGGCTGTTGTGAAAGGGGTGGGGACAGTTGGATGAGACTGGATACCTCTAAGGAGAGCCAGGGAGGCACGTCTGTGGCGCCAGGCTGCTTCCCGAGGCACCAGGGCTGCCTGCTCTTTGGCTCTGCACCTTGGGGGTTCGGGAGCCTTTCGTCACTCCAGGAATCCCGACAAGGACCGTCACCACTGGGGCTCTTCCAGCTCAGAGGCCTTTCTTTTTCATATCACAGAGTTTTTCATTCATGTGTTCATTCATCCATTCCTTCATTCTTCCATCCACCCACCCATCCATCCATCCATCCACTGACTCATTTCACAGACTTCCGGAGGGTCCTCTAGGCCACACACAGTGCAGGTGCTGGGGACTCCGAGGTGAAGTGCACACACTGCCCTCCCCACCCTTGCTGGCAGTATTAGTGCAAGGACACACAAGCCACGAGCAATCTGAAGATGGTGTGAGAAGCGCTGTGTCAGCAGAGATACTGAGTGTGCAGAAGGCAACGGGCCCGATTCTAAGCTGGGGTGACCCCGGGAGGGCTATTCGAGGGTGCAGCCAGGTCTGGGGGCATTCCAGCAGGGGCCCACGGGTGCAGGGAAGTGGCCCACTAGGAGGAGTGACAGGCTGTCAGCCTGCCCAGAGTGACGGGTGTAAGGGGCAGCCAGAGAAAGTGCAGGAACAGAGAGCATGGATCCCGACAGGCCAGGAAGGGTGTGCACTTGACCCTGGGCAGTGGGGAGCCATTGAGGCTCCATGAGGAACACCTCAGTGTAGTGTTTTGTGTTCTGGAAGCTGCAGTAAGAGCCAGAAGGTCTGCACTTTTTTCGCCACCTTTCGACCTCGCAGAGCAGAGGCAGAGCAGCCACAACTATGAGAGGAGGTCACAGCTGTCTCTCTGAAGTGGCCCCTGGCTCCTGCAGGGCCCCGTGCTGTGGGACAGGAGAATCACACTCCACACTGGGGCCTGTCTGGCTTCTTGCCTCACAGAACCCAGCCCAGGCCCACAGGGGACCTCTGAGGGCACCTAGCAAGAAATTTCCCTCCAGGAGCGCGACCCAGTTCCTTGGGCATGCCTGTGGAATTCCGGGAAGGTTGGACATGAGGGGGAGTGCTAATGGTACAAAGGTCCCACCTGCCCCCCACCCGAATTGTTTCAGGGTTTGGAGGGGCCGCTGGCCCACCTCTGGGATCCTGGTCCATTGGCCCCCTTCCCTGAGGCCGAGGCTTCCCCTCAAGTCCACAAGGCCCTTCTCTCCCCGTCCCAGTCAAGCTGCGTCTCCCAGGCTGCCAGTGTCCAGGTGCAGGTACCTCTCCTGAAGGAAGGTCACCCGATGTCCTGGCCAATGACAGTGGCCTGCACCTACTCTGACACCACAGCACCTGACTACCAGGAAAAGAGGAAATGCAAAGGGCTGGATTTCTGCTTTCTTAAAATTACCACACCAGCTCTAGTTCATGAACTCAGCAAATCATACCGGAGTCAGTTCACAGGTTTGCCTCTAATGCCTGACTGTTATTGGTCCTTTGTGCTTGGGTAGGAGCTTGCCTTTAGATGGTGTGTCCAGAGAGGACCCTTGAGGACAGTTCCTCTCCATGCCGCTGTTCGCCAAAGCCCTCATCTGCTCTCAGCCTATTCTACATGACGTTTAGTTATTCCTGAGTGGGGCTCAGCTCCGCCCATAGGGTTAAACTTTCAAGGGCTGAAATTAGATTGAGTTGATGAATGTTCTTACAGCAGGCGAGGAGATCCGGGCTGGAAGGGAAGCATCTTATATTCCCCAGGAATGGGAGACACTGGCAGTCTCCTTATGTCAAAGGCTGGGCTAGCAGCTTGTCCCCACAGGCTCCACTGAGGGCCCAGGCTGATGCTTCTCTGTACAAAGCGACGGCTTGGTGATAAGGACGGCAACAGTGAATAGATAGGGAGCGCTCACGGCATGGCGGGCACCGTGTAAGGGCTTCACAGCATCGTCTCCCTTATTCCCTCAACAGCTGCATCAGGTCGGCGATGTGCTTCCCCCACAGCTGGGAAATCTGAGCACCCAGAGCCCAGCCAAGTAGCACAGCTCCTACATGGCAAAGCTGCACCTTGCCTCTGTGTCCGCCACCTCCAGTGCAGCCCCAGTTCTCCCTGACGCGGCCCCTCGGGGGACATATCTCGAAGCACCCATCGCAGCGTCAGCGGTGGCTGGGTGCTCTGTCTGCCATTGCCCAGTGGGGCGCTCTCACACCCAGACTCCTGAGAACTGTGTGCGTATATGTGCGTGCTCGTGTATCTGCACACGAGAGAGAGGTGACTGAGCAAGTGTGTGTGGGCATTCACAGGATTCACGGTGCCCCCATGGCATTTGGTGCTTGTGGACCAGGGTCTGGAAGGAAGGTGCCATCAGATGTCACCCGGGTCGGGGCAGGGGCATGGCGGGGGCGTCCCAGGTGGTCCTCGCCTGCACAGGTCCTTCGGGCCCTGTGGGCTCCGGCCCGAGATGGGGGCCTGCATGGCATCACCATCAGCCCCCTCTCTGTGCTTCAGCGGTGGCCCTGCAGAGGGTGCGGGCCAGTCCTTTGAGGTAACTCGTCTCCTGTCTAAGGTGTTTTTCAGAGGCATCACAGTGAACGCCGTGCGGGGCTTCCCGATGAGTGCGGCCATGTTCCTGGGCTACGAGCTCTCGCTGCGGGCCATCCGCGGGGACTACTCGGTGAGCGGCCCCTGAGTGCCAGGTCAGTGGGCTTCCTCCCTGGCCGACCACACCTCCCAGACCTCTGGACTCTCTTCTGTACCGTGGAAATGTCTCTCTGGCATTGGTCCGCTGTCCAGCCCGTGTTAGTCCTGGGGCTGGACTGCTGCCACCCTGCCCATCATCCAAAGGCCCCTCTCAGATGCCTCCCTGAGACAGGTGGTGAGCTGGGTGCTGAGGACTTACCTCCATAGCGTCAGCTCACCTGTCTGGTTTTCCACGCGGAGATAAGTGTAGTTTCACTGTACAAGGTAACAACCCGGGCTCGGAAGTGAGAACCCAAACCGGGGCGTCCACCCCGTCACACGGGCACCATCCCCCCATCTCCTTGCTGAACTCAGAGCCTGACTCTGAGAGCCGCCAACAGGCTCCCAAAACTCTAGGGGAGAGCCTGTGCCCCACTCCTCCCCCCACACCCTTCCCTTCTCCCTTTCTCATTGCAGAAAGGTCACGGTAGCCCAAAGGATCTAAAACCAGAAATTTGAGCTAGAGACTCCCTTGCTCAAATGCCTGCAATGGCTCCCCATTGCCCTCTAGGTAAAGCAACCGTCCTTGCCTGCCCTGCACTCACCACCCTCCTGAGCCTACTGCCCTCACTGTCATCTCTGGGTCTTTCTACATGTCCCTGAATGTCCTGCTGTCCCCACCCTGTTTTCACACCTTCCCCCTTGTCCTTGGCTACATCAACTCCTCTTTGTCATCCAGGCCTTGGTCTAGAAGACTCTTCCTTCAGGAAGCCTCCCTGATGCCTCAGCCAGGAGGAGTTGTGCCCGGTGTAGGCCCCCTCCCACAGCCCCTGCTCAGTCCCTGCCTTACAACTGCCTCTCGCTCCCCAGCCAGCATGAAAGTCCCGGGAGAGCTGCACTTCTTACTTCACCTTTGTGTGGCCTGTGCCTCTCCCAGAGCTTGGCACAAAAATAGCCAGAAACACATGGAGTGGCTGGATGAGCCACCTCCAGTTCTCCTCAGCTCTTCCCGCTGCTGTCCTCTCTCCACCTCTCACCCCAAACTGGTCACTGGTCACTTGCTGGGCTCAGCATACAAAGTGGAATAAGTCACTGAATTTTTCAGTTACCCAGAAACCATTTTGCTTGGCCATGGTAACTGCAGATTCTCCCAAGAAGGATGATCTTCATCAGGAAGGTTGAGCAAAGCCCCGGCTGCCTTCCTGAGGGAGCTGAGCCAGGACACCCGCTGGGGCCAGAGCCTGGAGCCACGGCCAGGACAGGCCGGGCCCGGGTGACTGGAGCAAGCCCAGGCTAAGGCCTAGACACGGCTCTAAGTCACATGTGCTAGCTCTTCATTGAAGCACCCACATGCACAGCTTTCCCGGCTTGCTGCCCTCTCACAAAAGGAAGGGGCAGCAACGCCATCTGCAGAGTTAAACACCCTGTGTGGCCAGTGACTACACGGAGTTCTGTCCAGGGCAGGGAGGAGAGGTCGGTTCTGAAAGCTGTGCTCAGATATTGGCCACTCCCCACTTTGGAGGGATAAAAAAAAATCCTATAATAAAACAAATGCATTTTTATTGTAGGAAAGTGGAAAAAAGAAATAAACTGAAAGAACAACAACAACAACAAAACCCCTGTAATTCCAAGACCTTCCTATTATTCTTCCGAGCGGTTTTCTGTGTGCAGCCCGGCGCCAGGCCCTGCTTCCCACGACGTTGCGTAACTCGCTGCTGCTTAGCAGTCCAGGACCGTTCTTCCACGTCCTTAAGTCTGCAGCCGCGGGGGGGTTTACCGCCAAGGCCTGGCAGGCCCGGAGCGGCTGGACGCTTGCCGAGCGGCCGCACTCTGCCACTTGGGACCACCCCGGTGACTGGCGACTGCAGGAGGAAGGAGGAGACCTTGAGCAAGCCAGGTCCTGACTGTTTTGGATTTGGCCATTCAGAACAGTGACCACCCCAACTGGAAGCTTTTCTTTCTGGAAGTGCTCTGAATGTACAAGGGCATAGATATCTGTCTGTCTATCCGTCCATCTGTCTGTCTTTCCTCTGCTGGCATGGGGAGGAGGCTGGTGCCTCTCAGCTGGGATTAGGGGGTTGCTGTGACTTTTGGGGCCCTCATCTTAAACTGGCCTCACCCAAGGAGTTCAACTTCCTGCCATAACCCAAGAACACCAAGGCCCTCTAGCAAGTCCTGGATTTGAACCTGCCGCGGAGCTCTGAGGTCTCGGGCAGGTCATGGTCCAGGCCAGGGTGACAGCCACACTCTGACCACAGAGACTCCGTGCCTCCCTCGTAGTCCAGACTGAGGACAGTGAGATGATGTTGTTAGAGGACATCAGGAAGTGGTGGGGTGGTGGCAGTCAGCGGCAGGAAGGACGGGGACCCGTATTCAGGCAAACAGCCCTGCTCCAAGCAGCCGCAGCCTCCGACCACTGACCAGACACAGAGCTTCCCGGCCCCTAAAGTCCCGGGAGGAGGAACACTTCCCGTCATCCACTTGCTCAGCTTTTTCTCTCCAAGCCCACATGTGAGTGCCCCCAGAACCATTTGTGACTGAGTGAACACAGCGTGAGGTGGTCGTTTGGTGATGTGGTTAGTTTTCTCTGCTCAGTGGAGAATCCAGAGTCAGACAATACGAGGAAGGGGACCTTCGGTGATGGAAAGGGGGGTTCCAACCACGGGCCAGCAGTCAGTTCTCAGGCTTGTCTGAGGCCTGTGAATACGCGGCACGCGTTCCTGCCTGTCCACCCGGAACCCCTGCTGCCAGAACCTTCCTGGAATAATGCTGCTCTGCCCTCTGCCCTGACTTTCATGCTCCAAACTTCACTGGCCTACTTTCAATTTCAGGAAAATTCATTTTCAAGGAAAGAAGATACATTCTTCCTGCATTTACGAATGACCTAGACAGCCTCGTTGGCCAAGTATCACCGTGCTACTGGCCGACTGCTGCTTCACTGAAACAGCTCCAAATGGGTGGGATGCCAGGCCTCGCTGACTGGTAACCCCAGGGAGGTGAAGCCAGATCTCTCCTCCTTCCCTCAGGACCAGCGCTGGTGTCACCTGACCAGGGCCACGTTCCCACGGCTGCAGGGAGGCTGTGGCCGCTCCAGAAGCTGTGAACCTCAGAACCCTGCTCTCCCGATGCCAAGCACTCTGTCCTGGCGCTCCGGGGGCCGGAGCCACCGAGCTGCTGCCTTGGAGAGACCAGTGCTCCGTCACTGCCGCTTGCAGATCAGCACTGGCATCCGGTGAAAAGTGGGGCGATGTGGACCCTGCTCCCCACGACTGCTGTAAACTCCCTGGGAATTTGCAGGGGAGCTGGAGTTGTCTCTAAGTTTCCAAATAAAAACACTGAGAACTTCTGCAGGTCCTTTCTGTGTCAGATGCTTCTTCCTGGAGAGAGACACAAGCCACTCTCGTTCCTCCCTCTGTTTAGATCCCTGTAGATGTCACCCAGAGAAGCAGCCTCTCCTGGCAGGTGAGAAGGCTCACTTGGCTTTCCCAGCTGCCCAAGGTGGGCAGGGAGGGCGCAGTGGTGGAGGGAGAGGAAGGCCCGGAGGTGCTCTCCCCACCCTCCCAGTGCCCACAATGATCCAGCGCTTCAGCAGCGAGGCCCTGAGCGCGGGTCATGTGGGCGTCCTCTGGGCCTCATTTTCACATAGAGAAACACAGCAAAGCAAAACAAAATACTCATCCACAGTCTGGTTTCCAGAATGACGCCAAGATTCTAAGTTGTATTTCTCAGTAGCGCCGTGTAGGGAGGCCACGCTCCCCTGCTGTCGTGTGGCATGGGCCCCCCTGCTGAGCCCACTACGGGGTCTTCACTTGGGCAGAGAGCCCTCTCCAGTGGAGCTGTGTGCAGCTTCAGAATTCTCCTCAACACAGTGCCCCGAACAGCCACCACCAGCCAGTCACAAGGGACACACAGAGGAATCTCTTTGCTGTTCCTGGCTTAAATCCCAGTGGGGAAAACACCCTTAGATTTCTTTTCTCTTTTTTCCCCCTAGATTTCCCCACACCCTCCCATCCCCACCTGAGTGATTCAGAGCGTGTATCTGGAAATCCCCTGCCCTAACAGACCCAGCACCAAGACAAAGCATTGCTGGGCACAAAGAAATTGAAAGTGTCCTGTCTCATCAGTTTATCCTGATGCCTTAGCAAAGGGTTCCCTCCTTGAATAAAAGCCTCAGTATGCCCCCCTTGATCTCTCTGCTTCAGGGCCCCTGGCAATGGGGCGGGGCTTTCCGGGTCACCTCTGCAGGCTACGCTGCCTGTCTCTCGCCCTCGCTGATGTAGCTCAGTTTGTTGGGGCGTCGTCCAGTAGCTGAAAGGTTGCAGGATCGACTCCTGGTCAGGGCACGTACCGAGGTTGCAGTCCAGTCCCTGGCCTGGGCATGGACCATCCCCAGTCTGGGTGTGTACGGGAGGCAACAGTCCATGTTTCTCTCTCTCCCTTCTTCTGTCTCTCTCTCTCTCTCTGAAAGCAATAAGAAAAACATGTCCTCGGGTGAGGATTTTAAAAAAATAAATAAATGAACTCTCCATCCCACCAGCTGTGGGGCATTCTTTCATTTCTTCAGTCATCATGTGTTGAAGCATGAGTTGAGCGCCTGTTACATGCAGACACCGTCCTCTGGGTTGGGGACAACCCAAAGGAAGGAACAGTCCTTCCATTCTGGTGTATGGTTCTGTAGACAGGAGAAGTGGGTCTGCCTGCCCACCCGGTGTCGCTGGTCCTGGGCAGGCATTGCGGATACTGGGGAAGAGAGGCCCATGGGCATCTTAGTCCATTCCCGGTGAACCCAGGGTCTTTTCTCTGACACGTCCTAGAATGTGTTAAGTCTGCCTCAACTAGGCCTTCTCCAGATGCTGGTGCTGGTGCTGGT